TTGTGCATCCTGGGGAGGGTACCCTTGCATGATCTGTGTGCTTTGGCCTGCGGAGGGTCTCATGTTCTTGAGTGATGTTCGTCTGGCCTAGGTCCGACCGTATGTCTGGGCCGTATGCGACAGCGTCTGGGCTGCATGCGACCACATGGACGCTGCGCGAGGCGCCGGCAAGGGAACAGTGTGCCTGGCAATGGGCCCCTCCCTGGCCGGAACAGCGGTGCCCGAGAGCACAGGGAGTAAGCTCGGGGGCCCCCAAGTGGTGTGGTGACCACACCGCGTGGTGAGCAAGTGGGGATTCGGGGTCACCGCACGGTTTTTTGGACTCGTGTCGTTTTCTGGGGATGTCTCGGGCGGTTTGGGGCCCCCAGGGTCCCAGAACCGTGCTGTGACGGACCGTGCGGTGAGGTCGTTGGGGATTCCGAGGGCACCACGCGGTCCGTCACCACACGCTTTTGGGGCCCCGGATAGCCATTGCGAGGGTCAGCAGAGTCAAGTCGGCAATGTCAATTATCTCGGCGCACGTTGGAGGATCGTTCGCGCAGGAGCTGGGTGCGAATGCCGAGCTGGCCGCGGTAAGCCCCGCCTGCGCCAGCGCAGCAGCTCGGCAGTGTCAGCAGGGTGTAGGCTTAACTCGGGCCTGTCCCCCTACAGGGGGATTTTCGACGAAACATTAAACATACCCCCACAATAGTCCAAAAAATAATCCAAAAATAGCCTGGGGACTATTTTGTGAGTATTTTTGACCTTTGGGGGGTATTTTTTGGGTATTTATTTTTTTCCCGTCGAAGATCCCCCTGTAGGGGGACAGGCCCGACTTAAGTGTAGGCTGTGTGTTGGAGGCCTGCTCCAGCTCGTGGGTCTGGAGCACCTCTTCTGGAGGAGCCCTCCCCCCGCTGGGCGTCGGGCGGCTCCCCGGGTGGCGGAGGTGGCCGACAGCGCCGCCCCGTGTTGAGCTGGGCTCCACGTGCCGAGCAGTGGAGGAGGAGGAGGAGAAGGAGGAGGAGGAGGCCTTAGTCTATGCTGTGTCCTGGAGGATCTCCTTCTCCTCCTGCTCGGCCACGGGCCGCTCCTCGGGTGGCGGAGGTGCCCGGGATTGCCACGCTGAGTGTGGCTGGGCCCCTTCGGGCCGAGCAGATCGTGTCTCTCTCTCTCTCTCTCGGGTGTTGCGAGGAGTACCCCTGGCCCAAGGTACCCTCAGGATTCTCAGGGCAACCCAGACGGCCTCCAGGTCACCCCTCAGGAGGCCCAGAGGGCCCTAGGGGCTCCAAAACGGAGCGAAGGGCACCTTGGGCCAGGGGCACTTCTAGCAACACCCGACTCGCTGCCCCTGTCCGCGCGTGCGCATCCACGATTTGTGCTCGTGATTACCATCTGCTGCCCTGGCCTTAGGTCGGGCATGCCGCTCTACAGGCGTATTTTGGGCGAAAGTTTAAGAATAATCAAAAATGCGTCCAAATAAAAAAAACGAATAGTAAAATTTCCCCAGACCATTTTTTACCATTTTTGATTAGTCCTCCTGTAGAGGGACAGGCCCGACTCGACCCTGGCCATCTCTCGTACGGTAGGTCCGCGTCGTGTCGACCGGCGGCGACCCCGCCGCCGGCGTTCAACGTTGAGCGCCGCCAGCGACCCAGAATCGGTCGATGTTGAACGATCTAGCGTTCCGGAAACGGCCGATCGTTCAAGTGTCAGAAACCAACGCCGGGGTCCGCACGACACGAACCTACCAGAGGTGGCTATAGTTTCTTTGCCTGACCACGGGGGCGCGCGCCACGTCGAGTGGCCAGCTCCGGGTCTCTGCTCGAGGGGCCTCCTTCCACGAGGACCTCTCGACACTCCCTCGTCCTTCTCCTCCACCTCTCCCCCCTCCTCCGCAGGAGGTGAGGCACAAGGCCCAGGAGCTGAGAGCGACCATCCAGCGGCAGCGCAAGGAGGGGGTGGGGGGAAAGGGGAGGGGTCAGGGGTTCGAGGGTTCGAGGGTTCGAGGGTTCGAGGGTTCGAGGGTTCGAGGGTTCGAGGGTTCGAGGGTTCGAGGGATGATGATGATGCTGATGATGATGATGATGATGATGATGATGCTGATGCTGATGCTGATGCTGATGCTGATGATGATTATGATTATGATGATGATGCTGATGATGATGCTGATGCTGATGCTGATGCTGATGATGATGATGATGATGCTGATGATGCCGCTGATGATGATGATGATGCTGATGCTGATGCTGCTGCTGCTGCTGATGATGATGATGATGAGGATGATGATGATGATGCTGATTATGATGATGATGATGATGATGATGATGATGATGATGATGATGATGATGATGATGATGATGATGATGAGGAGGAGGTTAGGGGAGGAGGAGGAGGAGGATAAGTAGGATGAGGAGGAGGAAGAGGAGGGGAGGAGGAAGAGGAGGAGGACCAGTCCGAACGAGGGGCATCAACGATGCTGCAACAACCCCTCCCGGCCCAAGTCCGCGCCTCCCCTACAAGGTTTTCGTTTCTTTGCTAGAAGCGCCCCCTTAAAAGACCAGCACCCTATGGGTCTGTCATTCAGGCGAGATCCCCGTTTTGTAAAGGAATCGCCTGGCGTTCGTCTGGCGATTAACGAGGAATTCTCATGTATGTGTGTATGTATGTATTTAAGTAGATATGTGTATATATATATATACACATATACATCGAGAATCTATGCACATGAGTATTCGTAAGGGCTTCGCCCCCTGCCGCCGGCCCCTTCTCTCTCAGAATGGTCAGAGTCGCGTCGGTGCGTCTCGGCGCTGCCTTGGCGCATCTGGGAACATCATGCGGTGGCGGATATGAATCATCAGCGCGTAGTGAGACGTCGGCGTTATCGAAGACGCCTACGGTGAATCACCGCCGCCCCCTGCCTTTGTGGAAGCGCCTATGTGGCCGAACGTTGAGGCCAGACCTGCCAAGCTATCGGACCATGTGTTCCCCGAATCGGTTTGGAAAGCCTTCGGGGAACACGTGGGCATCTTGAAGGTCATCTTGGCCGTCTGGAGGCCATTTTGACCCTTTCGGGCCTTCTTGGAGGACGTCTTGGAGGGCTCTTGGACCGTCTTGGAGGCCATCTTGAGCGTCTTGGAGACCTGTTGGGCCGTCTTGGGGGCCTCTTGGGGCCGTGTCTTGGGCCTCTTGGGCGATCTTTGGGGGCACTTGGGCCGTCTCGGGCCGTCGGAAGGCAGAAAAAAAACAAATGCCACACTCCTTTCAAAACCCATGGGAAATCAATGAGTTTGGCCTTGTAGGGCCTTCCTGGAGGCCCTCTTGGAGGCCTCTTGGGCCGTCTTGGGCCATCTTAGGGCCATGTTCGGCCGTCTTGGTGGGCTCTTGGTCCGTCTGACGCCGTCGGAAGTCGTTTGGGTGGCCTCTATGGGCCGACTTGGGGCCCTCTTGGAATGCTCCAGGGCCGTCTTGGAGGCCATCCTGGGCGTCCTAAAGGCCTCCTGGGCCGTCTTGGGGGCCTTTTGGGGCCGTCTTGGGGCCTTCTTGGGCCGTTTTGGGGCCATCTTGGAGGCCTCTTGGGCGATCTTTCGGTGATCTTTGGGGGCTCTTGGGCCGTCTCGGGCCGTCGGAAGGCCGAAAAGAAGCAAATGTCAAAGTCTGTCAAACACCTAAGGCAAATCAATGTTTTTGGCCTCTTCTGGCCTTCCTGGAGGCCCTCTTGGGGGCCTCTTGGGCCGTCTTGGGCCAGCTTCGAGCCAACTTCGGCCATCTTGGTGGGTTCCTGGCCCGTCTGACGCCGTCGGGAGCCGTCTTTGGGGGCCTTTCTGGGCCGACTTGGGGCCCTTGGGGCGCTTCGGGGCCGTCTTGGAGGCCATCTTGAGCGTCTTAGATACCATCTTGGACGTCTTGGAGGCCTCTTGGCCCATCTTGGGGCCTCTTGGGGCCGTCTTGGGGGCGTCTTGGGCCGTCATGGGGCCCTCTTGGAGGCCTCTTGGGCGACCTTGGGGCGATCTTGGGAGCCTTGGGCCGTCTTGGGCCGTCGGAAAGCCGAAAAGGCGCAAATGCCCAAATCCTTCAAAAACGGAAACTCCATGATTTTGGCCTTTTCGGGCCTTCCTGGAAGACGTCTTGGAGGGCTCTTGGGTCGTCTTGGAGGCCTCTTGCTGGCCTTTTGGGCCGTCGTAGACCATCTTGAGGCCATCTCGGGCAGTCTTGGGTGCATCTTGGAGCCACCTTAGACGTCTTTGAGGCCATCTTGGCTGTCTTGGAGGCATCGTGGAGGCCATTCTGGGCCATCTTGGCCGTCTTGGAGGCCATCTTGGGCCAACTTGGGGCAACACAGGCATTGACGGATGGATTTCCGAGAATCTCCCGGGACCCCGGCGGGACGGGCCGAAGCCCCAGGGGGAGTTCTTTTGGAAAATGAACCAAAACCATATAGTTCGGCACGCCAGGCACCCCTGCGATGAATCGACAGGGGGCGGCGGATCCCAATGGCCTTCGGCCCATCCCGCCACCGTGTCTGGGTTGTGGGTCTGAGGCCTCTTGTATATGTGTTGGGGTGTCGTGGGGAGCCCCTCGGAGGCCTCTTGGAGGCGGTTTCGGCGCCTCTTGGGGACCTCATGGGGCCTGGTGGGGTATCTCTTGGGCTCTTGGAGGCCTCTTTGACGCGTCTTGGGCGCCTCTTGGGGCCTCTTGGGGCCTCCTGGAGGCTTCTCGGGGCTTCTCGGAGCGCTTCTTGAGCCATCTTGGAGCCCTCTCGGGCCGTCTTGGGGCCCTCTTGGAAGCGTCTTGGGCTGTCTTGGGGCGGTCTTGGGAGCTTCTTGAGGCATCTTGGAGCGTCGAAAAGCCGAAAATGCGAGAACTCCAAACTCCTTCAACGACCGTTTTTTAATCGGCCATGTTGGCCTCTCGGGGCTCTCTCGGGAGACCTCTCGGAGCGCTCTTGGGGTCTCTTGGGGTCCTCTTGGGCTGTCTTGGAACCATTTTCGGGCGCCTCGGAGCACTCTTGGCCTCGGCAATACGAATATGGTATGAGTTGCAAGGGTTTATGGCCACGGGGCGCGAATCTCGAATACGTTGCGTGCGTTTATTTCCTTGGGGACGCAAGAATGTTTCGCAATTTGCGAGGGTTTGTGGCCTCGGTGACGCGAATATTGGGTAAGTTAGACAAGATCCTGGCTTCGAGGTCGCGACTAACGCGAGGATTTGTTGCCTCGCGGACGCGAATATTACGTAATTTGCAACGGGTTCTGGCTTCGTGGACGCGAGTATTGTGTAATTTTCAAGGGTTCGTTACCTTGGAGACGTAAAACTTGCATACTTTAGGAAGGTTTGTTGCCTCGGGGGTGCAAGAATTAGTACCTTGCAGGGGTTTTTGGCCTCGGGGATGCGAATATGGGTTTGTTGCTTCAGGGACGCAGGAATTGAATATTTTGCAAGGGTGACTGGCCTCGGTGACGCGAACATTGCGTAATTTACGATGGGTTGGCCTCGGGGGCGCAATTGTGGCGCAATTTGCATGGGATCGCGGCCCCAGAGACGCGAATGTAGCGTAATTTACGGGTGATCGTGTGGCACGAACATGGTGTATTTTTCAGGGGATCGTGGCTTCGGGGACGCGGATGTGGAGCAATTTGTATGGGATCGTGGCCTCGGGGACGCGAACACAGAGAGTAATTTACGAGGGATTATTGCGTCGGGAGCGCGAAGCTCTTGTATTGTTACGTGTCCCACGGCCCTGCAGGAATTCAGACAACGCGATTCGGGGTGTTGGTAACCGGACGCTTTTCGACTCCCCCCTCGCGCGGACTTGAACAATTTACCATAGGAGGCAGAAAGCAGGACTGTAACATTGGAGACTGGAAACTGCAACTGGCGCAGGGAGCAGCAGCCTGATGGCCCCACAAGGGGGCCGTTTTTTTGTTGTTTCTTATTTTTCCTTTTCTGCCCATATATATATATGTATACATATATATATATATGTATACATATATATATATACAGTGATAGGTGTGTAATTATTATATTTCATAATAAAACAGAATGACTACATACATAACTAATATATATATATATACATACACACATAGCAACCCGCAGTTGCGGATAAGAGTGAGGGGTCAGCGGGGACGTTGGCAGTCTGCGAGGCTCTGAAGAGACCCGCCGCAGACGCCGAATTTTTTAAACTATACAACGAGCCCGCAGCAGGCGCCGACTTTTGGTAAAGCAATGTGGGTGGGTCGCGGGTTGGGTCGCCGGTCGGTCGCGGGTGGGTCGCGGGCCGGATCGTGAGTGGGTTGCGGGTGGGTCGTGGGTGGGTCGCGGGTGGGTCGCGGGTGGATCGCGGGCGGGTCGGGTCGCAGGGTGGTTCGCGGATGGGTCGCCGGAGGGTCGGAGGGGGGGTCGCGGGTGGGTCGCGGGGTGGGTCGCGGGTGGGTCGGCTGGGTCGTTGGGGGGACGACGCCAAACAACAATAACAACAACAGCAGCAGCAGCAGCAACAGCAACAACAATAATACCAACACAACACCAACAACAACAATTACTAGCACGTGGGGACACTCCGTTCTCACCAGTGCCAGGGTTTTCATAGGAGGCGGGCAATACCCCCACTTTGTGGGGGGGCCGTTTCAAGCTCTACCAAATTTCCAAAAGACTCTTCGCCACCACCCACACCCAGCTTCCCGCCCTATGACGTTCGGACACTTCACTTCGTGGCATGCGGACGACCGTGGCTACTATTCAGGGCCCCGCGGCCGACGACGACGGCGTGCGCGCGCGAAGAAAAAACGAATGTGTCCCGCATGGTATTATTTGACAGGGATGATGGCCCTGGCAGGTGCGCAACCGTTGTTGCAGAAGTTCGAAAAAGTTGCTCGCAAAAGCCCGTTTGACAGAAATGTTTAAAAAGTGTTGGGTTTCCTACGAATCCGCAAGAGCGCGCGGGATGAAATTTTGACAATCTTTTTTTAAACAACCATTTTTTCTTTTATGTTTTTATGTTAAAATCGCTACGAAAACTAAGGTTTTGGAAGGATTTCGTCTTGCGCGCGCGAATGTCCACTTTACCTTTTTTTTTTTTTTGCAAGGGATTCTTGAAGTTTGGTTATGTTAGAACAAGAAATGTCCACTTTAGCTTTTTTTTGCAAGGGAAAACCGATCGTAATAACACAACCGGATCCGGACTCCCCCGTTTTGCCTGAGACTTCCTCACGAAAATGATGAAAATGAGGCTGCGGCCTAGGCGCGGCGGGGGGGTCGTGCACCAGGGGTCCCAACAATAATTATTCTTTAGAAGTAATAATGTTCAACAACAACAACAACACTACTACCAATAACACCAACACCACCAACACCAACAACACCAACAACACCCCCAACAACGACAACACCAACAATAATCATTTCAATTATGTTCGCTCTTATCTGCTCGCGTGATTCCAAACCCTCGATACCCTTTTCATCTTCGATCGTATCCCTTGGGGGTACATCTTTCTTACCTGCAACATGTATTTCGTGCAGCACCTAAGGAAGGGGAGGAGTGGACGGATGGAAGGAAGGGACAAGGAGGAGAGGTGAGGATGGAGCACGAGAGAGAGTAGCAGGAGGGGGGATAGGAACAGAAAGTACGTGGCAAAACCAGACGGGCAAATCGGGCGGGTAGACCCTAACAGGCGGGCCCAGGCGGCCAGGTCGAGCAGGCGGGTTGCTGAAGCATGCGTCCTGCATGAATCGCGAGGAAGCCTTGAGCGAAAGCGCGATTCCAAAATAAATCTCGTGCGGGATTCCAGAGCGAGAGCGTAATTCCTGAGTGTCGAGGGCGCAGCGCTTGAATCAATTGCGAGGAAGTCCCACGCGACAGCGCGATTCCTGAGCGTCGAAAGCGCGACCGCGACTCTTGAATACACAGCGAGGAAATATCAGGCGAGAACGCGATTCTTCGATAACTTGCAAGGAAGTCCCTACCGAGAGCGCGATCCTTCAATAAATTGCAAGGGCGTATCAGGCGGGAGCGGTTGTTGTTGTAAACGGGGGGGCAGGGGCATAGTTTGAGCAGGACGATAATCCCCGGTAGAAACACAGCGAGCTCCTGGAGGGGCACTTCGATTGAAAAACACGTATGTTACGCGAACGCGTGGGTCTTGCATTATTCGCCAGGCAATCTCGGGGGAGAGCGCGATTCCTAAGTAAATTATGAGGAATTTCCGGGCGAGAGCGCGTTTTCTGAATGGCGAAGGCGTGGCACTTTAATACATATTGAGGATGTCAGAGGCGAGAACGCGATTCTTGGATACATTGGAAGGAAGTCCCTAGCGAGAGCGCGATTCCTTAGTAACCTGCGAGGAAGTATCAGGCGGGATCCATTGTTGTTGTAGTCCAGGGGCTGACAGCGCAGTTTGAGGAGGAAAACCTTCCGTGATAAAAGAACAGGGTGCGAGCCCCGGGAGGGGCACTTCAATTGAAACACTCACATTTGTTACTGGATGGGGGGATCAACAAACATCATTTTCAGTAGTGAGGGTTCAACAGCAACAACACCAACAGCATCAACACCACCAGCAACAGTAACGCCAACAACAACAACAGCAGCACCAACACCAACAACAAGAGCAGCAGCATCAACACACAATTAGCAACAAACAACAAGTAGCACACACTAAACAAGAGCAATTGCAACACCATCAGCAACAGCATCAACAACAACACCAGCAACAATACCAACAGCACCACCAACAACACTACCACTAACAACACCACCAGCAGCATTAACAACACCACCAGCAACACCACCAACAACACCAACAACAACAACGAGAGTCCGCATTGCGGAATTCCACTTCAGCCGCGCACCCAGGGACAGTGAATGACCGTTCGGCCTTCTCACTTTGTCCAGCGATACCCCAGTTGCGAAGGAGGACGGCGCCCGTGTGTGCAACTGCTTCGCAAGGTAATTAACACTTCTGGTCATGAACTTCGAAGAAGTCGCACGCGAGAGCCCTCCTATCGTGCAGCTGTTACATCTGTTTCACTGCCAGGTCTTCCAGTTCGAGGGCGTCTCAAGCGAACGTCCCGTTCGGAAAAGGGAGCCGCCATTTATCTGTGACGCTGTTGCGAACTCCTCAGACGAATCTGCGCGGCGGTCGGGCAAGAGCCCCATTTTGAAAAGATCCGCCCTGCATTCTTCACGCCGTTGCAAACTCTTGAGACGAGTGTGCGCGGCGCTCAGTCGAGAGCCCTGGCTTGAACAAGTGTCGCCCTTTCATTTCTGGAGCCGCTGCAGACCTTTGAGACGAGTGGGCGCGGCGCTGAAGCGAGAGCCCCATGCTGGAAATGACCTAGCCTCCATCTTCGAAGCTGGCTCTAGCCTGTTGAGGCGAGCTGCACGGCGCTAAGGCGATTGCCTAATTTTGACGGAGGAGGAGGAGGAGGAGGAGGAGGGGGAGGAGGAGGAATGAGCGCGACGCCACGGCGAGAGCCCCATCTCGAGAACGACTTGCGATCCATCCTGGAGACTGCCACTGGCACTGAAGACGCGTGCGCGCGGCGCTGCGGCGAGAGCTCTGCTTTGAGAACCACCCGCCCATCCTTGAAATCGTTGCAGGCTACCCAGCGTCAGGATCACTTCTATGATATATATATATATATATATATATTTCTTACTCATTGTTTTGCCCATCGGCGCGGGCCCTTGGAACCCTCCACCCCCCAATGGAGTGGATCATGGCTGTTTTTGGCGCGAGTGTCGAGCAGGAGGAGCCTCCCCAACAGGACGCACTGCTGCAAACAGTCGCACTAAGCAGAGGTCCGGAGCTAGAACCCCCCCCCTCCCCCCCCTTTCGCCCAATGTCGAAACGCCGGATCAGAAAACGATCACTTATAGTGAGGAAGTCTCAGGCGGAACGCCCGGCCCGCTCGGGGGGTCGACAGGGAGGCATTATCTATAAGGGACAGTGATGGAGGGGGAGGGGAAGGGAGAAGAGGAGGAGGATGAGGACGAGGATGAGGAGGAGGAGGACGAGGAGGACGAGGTTGAGGAGAGGAGGAGCACGAGGACGAGGACGAGGCGGAGGCGGATGAGGAGGAGGAGGAGGAGGAGGGGGAGGAGGAGGAGGATAGATAATAATCATACGAATATTAATGATACGAATGCGAATGCTTAACATAGTAATGCTATCACTAATCCTATTAGGCAAGCTAGTACCAGTTCTAGTAATAAGACTCGTACTGATAGTAGTAATGCAGTTCATCATTATCGGGCGCAGTGCGTGCTGCTATTTGGGCCCATCTTGTTCTGCTGGTCTTGCCAGTCTTGCTGGAATGCGAATATCTGCATGTGCAAAGGCTAAAGTATAACACATACAATCACTCGAGTGTTATCTTCTTTCCCTCATCCGTATCCTTCTGCTCGATTCCGTACTGTTCGTCGGCTTCCGCTTTCCCGCCATCGAGCTTTTCTGTTGTTGCGCACGCCTGCTGTTTCTTCTTGTTTCATCAACTCCCTTTCACGCGCCTCCTCTTTTTTATTTATCTCGTGCCATCTAAGCGTCGGCACCTCGCTGGGGCAGGGTTGTGGACGGACGGTTGCCTTGATCTCCTTTGGTCCGGTCTGTTCTGAACTCCGTCCCGCCGTGGCCTGCTTCTTTCGTGGAGCGGCCGACCTGCCTGCTGGTTCAGTTCGCATTTTGTTGCTGAGGCTGCGGCCTGCACGCCATGGTCTAATGAGCCCGGGCGGGCTCCGCGCTCGTCTCGGCTCGTCTCGTCCTCGTTGTGTCGCGTGGTATGGGCGTGGCGACGGCAAGGGAGCGAGGAGGGGAGAGGAGGGGAGAGGAGAGGGGGGAGGGCAAGGTGCTGCTGAAGGAGCTCGGATCCGACGAGCGGGGCCCCGGCACCCTACCCCTTCCGCTCCCTTCCTCTCCGCTCCCCCCCCTCCCTCCCCCCCCTCTCCGCTCCTCTCTGCTCCTCTCCGCTCCTCTCCCCTGCTCTCCCCTCCCCCCCCCGGCGAGAGGAGAGGGGGCGGGGGGAGGTGCTGCTGAAGGAGCTCGGATCCGACGAGGTGGTCGAGAAGGCGCCGCCCCGGGGGCCGCCGTGCCCGAGGAGGGAGGGGGGCCGCGGCCCGCGAGGAGGGCGGCACTGGGGGCCCGCCGGCAGACCAGCAGGTCGGGGGCAATGATAGGGGGGGATGGCCACAGGGGGGGATGCATCGACCCCCAATCGCTCATTGATCGCCGACAGTACGGGAACGAACAATACCGTAAACATAAAAACTCCGAGGTCCGCGTGGATTTGTCGGATCGGCGCTGGACCCCCCTGGCGGCGCCTTCGGCGCCGCCCCTGACGCGCTCCGCGCGCCAGGGAGGGGGGTCCAGCGCCGATCCGAGAAATCCGCGCGGACCTCCGAGTTTTTATGTTTATGTCATTGTTCGTTCCCCTAGACCGGGGCCCGATAGCCCCAACCTGCCCAGGAGTGTGCGGATTCACTACCAGGGGCCTGTCGCCGATCTATCGGCGATTTATCGCCCATTCCAGGTCGATGCATTCCTCCCCATGCCAGTCCCCTCCTATCGTTGTCCCTCAGCAGAGGGACGAGGATCGATGAATAGGGGAACGAGAAATGACATAAACATAACTCGAAGGTCTGCGCGGATTTCTTGGATCCGCGCTAGACCCCCCTGCCTGGCGCGCAGAGCGCGCCAGGGGCGGCGCCGAAGGCGCCGCCAGGGGGGTCCAGCGCGGATCCGAGAAACCCGCGCGGACCTCCGATTTATCATGTTTATATTTCGCGCCCACTCGCCAGATCCATGGATCCCTAATCTATGTTACGGTTGGCGTTGGAAAGGTAGCGTGCGATTTGGCGCCGCCGGCATGCTTATAACACGCTATCCCCACCTTGGGGACAGCGTGTACCGAAGAAGCCCTGGCTGGGGGATAGCGTGCACAGAAGGGGCCCTCGCGGGGGGATCGCCTCACAGGGATGGCGCGCTTTTCGGATATCGATGTCGCACGCTGTCTCTCCAAAGCCACCCCTACGTATCTCGCCAACGCCAACCGTAGCGTGTTGGAGCTTTCTATGGGGCCACGATCCGCGTGAAGGGTGTGCCCAAATGGGCGCGACGCCGCCATGCGAACTGGCCCACACTTGCCGTAGGTGGGGCTTCTCGTGGGGCACGATTCGCGTGAGGGATGCGCCGAAATGCGTGCGGCCCCGCCATGCGAACTCACCCACTGAGGCCGTGGGTGGAGCTCCCAACGTGGTACGATCCGCGCGAGTGGTGTGCGGACATGGGGGCGCGGCCCACGGGGGGGTCCTTGCTCTTAGACGCTCTTGGGACCCTCTTGGGACGCTCTTGGGTCCATCTTGGGGCCCTGCCAGGGCCACTGTTGGAGCTCTCGTGGGCCATCTTGGAGCCATGTTGAGGCACCAAGGGTCTTTCGGACGCGTAAAGACGACAAAACAAACAACATTGTTTCGGGTGGTCTCCGGAGGACTTGGTGCTCTCGGGGGTTCCTTGGGAGGCTCCGTGGCGGAGCCGTCTTGGAGCGGTTGTCTTGGAGTCGTCTTGGAGCCGTCCTGGCCATGTGGAGCCGTCTTGGCCACTTGGAGCCGCCTTGAACCATCTTGGCGTATGTCGTGCGATCGTCGAGGCTACCTTGGGCTGCCTAGGGCCATCTTAAGCCTTCTTGGACGCTCCATCGATCCCCTTCTTGGACGCTCCAACGTCCAGACCCAAGGAGAGGGTGTAGGGGGAGAGGTAGCCCTCTCCCCGAAGGGGAAGAAGCAGGACGGAATAATCAACTCGCTAAACCACCAACGCCCCAAGGGCTTGTGGGACTACTTTTATTCATGCGTCTGCCGAGTGCGCGCGGCGCTGATGTGAAAGCAGGCTCGAAGATGCCTACGGCGAATCGCCGCCGCTCCCTGAAGTTTGGACAATCTGTGGGCCAAAGTCTGGAAAAGGTATTGGGCTACGTTTCCCCCCAGCCAATGTGGAAACCCTTGGGGAGACACTCGGGGGAGGAAGAGAAAAGGGGGCGGAGCGGAAGGAGGATGAGGAGGAGGGGAAGGAGGAGGATGAGGAGGAGGAGGAGGAGGATCAGGATGAGTAGGATGATGCTGATGATGATGATGATGAGGAGGAGGAGGAGGAGGAGGAGGAGGAGGAGGAGGAGGAGGCGGAGGAGGAGGAGGAGGAGGAGGAGAAAACGAACAAGGAGGCGTCTTGGGGGAGTCTTGGGGCCCTCCGGGCGCCTCGGCCTCTTGGCTGCTAGTTCCGGGACTCCTGGCGATTCGAACAAACATCGCGCCCGAATCTTTGCGCCATTTTCGCCACCCAGGGGGCCACCATCAGAGCCCCTGTACCGTCAAAAAAGCCGGTCACGGGGAAGGGGTCGGAAGGTCCCGGGGCCCCCGCGCCTCGAAAAGGCAGCCGTCGGAGGTAATTACGTTTGGTTGGTTCATGTTTGTCACGATTCGTATACCGCCTTTCTTGGCTGCCGCCCGATGGGTGGGGGAGCTTCTCTCCGGCCAGCATTTGAGTCCAAGGGGAGTTCACCAGGCTAGGTACCTTACTGCTCCTCCTCCTCTTCCTCCTCCTCCTCCTCCTCCTCCTCCTCCTCCTATTCGATCTTTTGAGTCCGAGGGAGCCCAACTTCTCCCCCTCGACTCCTGGAGCCAACAACCTGGGTGACTCATGTGGTTGAGTTTTGCTGACGCTTACTTGGATCACCTCAGGCATGCATCATTCGATCATCCGCTGTTGTAAAGCGATTGTTTTTCCCTCGTCTTCCCTCCTACTCCGCCCGTCGACATCAGGCCCTAAGTGTCGCAGACGACCCCAACGCGGTGAACTTCAAGGCGTCTCTCTCTCTCTCTCTCTCTCTCTCTGCGCGCGCGGTGGGGGCTTGCGTGCGGCTTCTGCAGTGCGATGCCCAGCACGGCACGGCTTGGCATGGAATCCTCACGTATGGATGGTGCTTTTCTTGAGCCAGCCTCTGCGTATCCCCATCCCTCATATGGCCAAGTCCAAGGCGATGACAAACTTGGGGACGTGCCCTCAGAAACTGGGCGAATCCTTACGATCGGCACCAAGATAATATGATTGCCAATCTGACGGATCTGGATATGCTTCAGGCTGTTACTGTCAAGACGCTCCAACACGGGCCAATTTGAGCTCAGAAGGGGCTCCGTTTGTAGTGCCGTTCCTCAGACCTGGATCGGGGAACCTATTCGTGGCCGAAGCTCACCGCGGCCAGAATAGCCCCTCCGTTCCTGATTGAATTGAACGCCCCTGAGGGGGCAGAAACCGCCGCCCCACCATTTTTGGATCCTGGAGACTCTGTGGGAGCGGCGGCCGCTCCGCGAGCGCGAATAGGAGATGTTCATGTGCTGGTGCTGGTGCTTCCGCTTGGAGGCCTCGTGGGGCTCTATGGAGGGGACATTGGGCTCCTCAGCGAGCTCTCTGTCGTATGACCCTGAGCCCAGGACGGCCGCAGAGAGGCTGGAGGAATTGAATCAAACCCGTCGGGTTCGTCCCAGAAAGCGCGCCGAGGAGTGTTTTCCACATGACCCTGAGGCTAGGACGACTGCAGAGATGCTGGAGAAGCTCAAAAACCTTGGGGTCGTCCCAGGGGGACCTCTGGAGGGGCTCGAAAAGGAGCCGGAATGGGTCAAGTGCAGCGGATTGGGGTGAACGATGAAAACAGGATGGGAATTAAAACAGTTCGGGTTTGTTTGCGGCTCCTGGAAGAGCCCCTGGAGGCTCTGATGGGGGCGACCCAGATGGGCGAAATACGGTGCCAAGAAGGCGGCCAGACGGCCCAAGATGGGTCCGAGAGGCTGTCAGGACGGTCGTAGAGAGCATGCCCGGGTTCTAAGATGGCCGCAAGATCCAGCGGAGATGCACGGGAGCTCCGAGAGAGGCGCAAGGAGAAGTGCGAGAAGGCCAGAATCATCAACATCTTATGTGTTTTACTATGTTCTTTTGCTTGTTGGGGTGTGTTCTAGTGTATGTGGCTCGAAAAGAGGTGGAAAGGCACCTGAAACGGCTCAGAGTGGCCTGAAGATGAGCCCAGGAGAGCCTCCGGAGGCCCGAGAAGCCGGCCCAGTGGGCTCCTGGAGAGATCTCTGAGAGCGCCTGGCGGCGCCTGGAAGGCTCTCGCGTGGGAGGGGCGTCGTCTTGGGACGGAAAAATGGCGGCCAGAAGGCGCCCCGGCCGCGGCCGGGGCCCCCGCGCCCGTGGAATGAGCGAGGCGCGGGGAGGACCCTCTGGGAGGGGTTGCGAGGGCTCAGGCCTGCCCATGGGCCTCCATGGGCCCCCCTCCCTTTCCCCTCCACTTCCTCTGCGCTCCCCGCTCCATCCTCCTTCCTGCCCCTCTCCTCCTCTTCGTCCCTCCTCGCTCCCGTCTCCCTCCTCGATCCTCCCCCTTTCATGACCCCTCCACCATCCTCCACAAAGGCAGGGGTAAGGTATGAAGAGTGCGCTGGAGGGAAGGCTTACGCAGAGCACTGCTGCCCCTCCGCTCCTTATTCAAGGCCGCTTCGCTTGTTCCGCCGGCCCACATTGCATCACTGGTGCTACATGTTTGTGTGATCGCGGCGAGCGAGAAGGAGGAGGAGCAGGAGGAGGAGGAGGAGGAGGAGGAGGAGGAGGAGGAGGAGGAGGAGGAGGAGGGGGAAGAGGGGGGGATGAGGAGGAGGAGGAGGAGGAGGCCTCCCGATGGCTTCTTGTGACATTATGTGGCCAAGCTTCGGGCCGCTTTGGGGCCTCGGGGCGGCCTCTTCGGTGCCTCTTGTGGGGTTCTCTTGGGGGCTCTTGGCGGCCTCCTGGAGCCTCTATAGCCCCTCCATTCCCTATTTTGCGTTCCTTATGTTCGCACGCTGACGATAATCTCGCGGTGCAATTCCAGGCAACCCTCCGCGCGCGCAGAGCGGGGATCGGCTGCGCGGCCTCTGCAGCGTGAGGCCCAGCATGGCACGGTCTGGCACGGGACTCGCATGTACAGGGAATATGCTGAATCTAAGAAGAAACAACACATAAGCATAAACTTGGATCGGCGCTGGGCCCCCCTTGCGGCGCTTCTGGCGCCGCCCCTGGCGCGTTCTGCGCGCCGGCGAGGGGGGTCCAGCGCGGATCCGAGAATTCCGCGCGGACTTCCAAACCTTTCTGCTTCTGTGGCTTTTCCTTCCTCGACTGAAAGAAGGGCGACTCTGGGCTCAATCGGAGGCCTATAGGTAATACCCTGGCTCCCTAGATGGCCGAACTATTGCCACCGACGCCCATGTCCAAGCCTCCAGCTCCAGGAAGTGCAAGCCTCTCCAGCTCGAGGAAGGGCTTTGACTTTCGGGTCGCGCCTGGCGTGTGGTCTTTCATGGCAGCCCAGAGGACCTCAAAACTACTCTTGCAGGTGTTGGGGATGGTCCGCAGACGGCAGGTCCGCGTCGTGCCGACCGGCGGCGACCCCACCGCGTGCGTTTAAGGTTGAACGCCGCCCGTGGCCCAGAATCGGCCGTCGTTGAACGATCCGGCGTTCACGGAACGACCGATCGTGCAAGTTTGAACGATCCCCGCGGTGTCGGGAACGGGAACCAACGCTGGGGTCGACACGACGCGAGCCTGCCGTATGAAGGCTCGCCCAGCTCCTTAGAGGATCCGGGTCGGAGAAAACGTGCTCGTGGCCGAGGCACGCCGCTGGGAGCTCCCTCTCTCCTCGGCCCGGCGTCCCTCGAAGGTGCACCACGACGACTGCACGGATGACGATCCCTTGATCGAGGGACAGAAGAACGGCACAAAAATATTCTTTCCCAGATGGAAGATCGGGGGCGGCCAAGAGAGGGGTGATGACGAGAGGGGTGGATATCTTGGCGGGGGCCATGATCGGAAACCTGGAACCTATATATTACCAGTGGCGGGCTGTTTTTTAATCCCCGGATTTTTTGAGGGTCGGGGACGACGTCGGGGTGGTGTGGTGTATATTTGTTTTCCCGTTTTCCCGGGGAAACAACGCAAAATGTATACACCAGGATCCCGTATACACCAGGATCCGCTTTCCTGTGCGAATGTCAATGCGGGGCCGGAAAAAGCGTCGGTGTACAGAGTCTGCCTCGTCACATGATCTCCCCAGATTTCATGGCGCCTCTTCTTATTTCAATGCGTCCCCGGCCCCGCCCTGGGCCGCGCACATGCCGCCGGCCATGATTTGCGCCCCCCCCTCTTGGACGCCCCCCTCACGGCCGCCCCCGATGAGAGGGTTTCAGATTAAGAGGCCGGAGCCGCAGGGAAGCCCCGTAGCTCGTTCCAGCTTCCAGCAGGAAGCTTTGGCGCCTCCAGAAGGTTCTTCGGAAGCTCTCTCCAGGTCCTTCCAGAATTCTGCGACAGGCCCTCCCGCGCGCTTCTGGCGCCCTGCCATCCGTTCTGGGGACCCCACAAGGTTGGAGGTCCGCTGGGATTTCTTGGATCGGCGCCAGACCCTCCTCGCTGGCACGCGGAGCGCGCCAGGGGAAGCGCTGGAGGCGCCGCCGAGCGGGGGTCCCATGGCCGATCCACGCAATCCGCGCGGACCTCCGAGAAATTTGCAGTCAACCCGCATTGTCAGGATGAGCGGCTTTCCAGGGTTACCCCTGCATCCTTCCCCTTCGGCCTATCCTTTGCCGCTTCCGCTGGCCGCGCCTCGCTCCAAAGTGTCGCCATGGCCTTCCAATGCCCTTGCATCCTTCTCGCGCGCCCTTTTTATACAGGCCGACTGCATGTGCAGGCCGTGCCTGGTGCCCCTGTCATGTCTGAGGGCCCCTGCCAGGCCCTGGGCCTGAGTCCGTCAAGGCTCTAGGCCTCTTGGGTGGGGTCCGACTGGATGGGGTCGGAGGATTGCGCCGCATCGCCGATGCATCGGCGATGCGGCTCGATGCGGCGCCCGACTTTTTTCGCGAGGACATCGCCGATGCATCGCCGACGTCGCCGATGCGCCGCCTGTACATCGCCGATGCATCGTCGATGTATCGCCGATGCGGCGCGATCCTGCGCCGACCCAATGTGGGAGGCCTCTGAAGTGAAGTCGGTGTGTCCCTATACAGGAGGACAATTTAAACATAGTCAAAACATAGTATGGCGTAACATAGTATGGCGTTTTTTTTTTTTTGTTTGTCCTCTGTTTTTGTTTTTTTTTTTTTTGTGTTGTTTTTTGTTTATATACATATATATAAACAACACATATTAATCAATGTATTTTTTTGATCATTTTTGAATATGTTTTGACATTTTTGTTTTTCGTCCAATATGCCATTCTGCGCCTGTTGGGAGACATGCCCGACCTAACTCTAACGACAACGAATGGCTGCGGGGGGGGGACGAGAGAGGCCCAGGGGAGGAAGCACGGGCCCCCCCGATCCCGCCCAGGAGCCTTCGGTTTTTCGCTATCGGGGGCCTGTCGCAGGTCCTCCCCTTGCTCCTCCTCCTCCTCCTCCTCCTCCTGCTCCTGCTCCTCCACTCCTTTTCCTTACAAATAACTTCACATGGCGCCAACATCGCGGAGCGGATTTCGCTCGGAAACAATGGGATGGGCCCAGATTGTCCTGGAGAGTGCCGTTCCGGATTTCGAAGTGAATTTCGCGCGGTTTTGTTTGGCCAGGAACGAAGATTACAAAGAATGCACGTGACATTCACTTCGTTTTTCGCTCGCCGTTTCCGAGTTTTGCGTTGACAGAAATCCACGCAACAATCCGCTGCAGCACGTCTGCAAGGTCGGTGCAAAGAAACTTCTCCCTGCCGCACCCCGAGGCTAGATTTTTGGGCGGGCCGGGCGTTTCGCCTGAGACTTCCTCACAATTTCACCCTGCAGCTTAAACCATAACAACAGTTTCACATATGGAGGGCAGGTGGTTTTCGTTTTAAACACTGCAAGCGTTTCACGGATTGAGGGCGACCCGTTTTCAAAATGTGGTTCCGCGCATTTTTTTTGTTCAAAATGTGGCTCTCGCTTTAGCGCCGCGCACATTCGTTTTTCAAATGTACATAAGTTTCACGGATCGGCATGATCAGCATACCAGAAATTGTTTTCTGGAGGGATTCAGGGTTGTGAGGGTGCAACAGTTACGTTGATTCGCGGTGTTGAAGTCCCAGGAAGGCGTTCTGGCACGATTCGGAATCGTCAAGACGCAACAGTCAGGTTGATCCGTGGCATTGGAATCCCGAAAACAATGGTCTCGCATGCTTCAGGGTCTTTAAACGGTTGTCTTCCAACGAGGCAGTTTCCTTAGTGGAAATGAACCGTTGTAGGGGCCTATGAAGAGGGGGCTTGGAGGGAGGGTTTATTCAAATATCGGTGATGACTCTTGGGTTTACACTGGTACTCTTCCTCCTCGTCCTTCTCCTCCTCCTCCTCCTCCTCCTCCTCCTCCTACCGGCGATGTACAGTGGAACGGACAAGAAAAACATGTTTCAAGAGCATGAGACCTCCGCCTTCCAAAACACACCGAGCATCCAGGGGTACCCTCCCCAGGATTCACACGAGCATCCAGCAAAAACAAATGACATTAGGGTGCCCTTCCCGAACCGACAAGGATCTTATACCTCGGTCCGATTGTATCGCTGATCCCAGGTCATTGTCCCCCCCGTCTCTCCCCGAGCCAGGTCCCCCTCGCCACGCACTTCAGAACTGTTCCCCCGTCCTGCGGTTGTCTCGTGTCGTGGCGACGCGGCGACGACCCCAGCGCGGGCATCTAAGGTTGAACATCGCCAGTCGGCAAATCTCGAAGGATCCGCGCCATCGGAAAGCCGCGATCTCTCAAGGCTGAACGATCAGCGCGGTGTCAGAAGCCAACGCCGCTGTCGTCACGGCGCGAACCTTCCTTGGGGGCGGGGAGGCCAGCCAGCAAGCTTCATGGGTCATGGGCCACGGGAGCTCGGCGACACGTCGCATAGATTCAGCGGAGTTCGGTGAGAGCATTGTTCGTGAAAACATCACGGCGTCGTGAGCCGATCGCCACCAGAGTTACCGACACAGCCTCCGCGCGGCATGTCCCGAGCCGGACCCAATTGCCCGTCTCGTTTCGGACGACGCTTGAGTGCCAGGCTCGTCGTCGTCGTCGTCGTTGTTGTCGTCGTGGTCGTGGTCGTCGTTGTCGTCTCTCCTTCTCCTCCTTCCTCCTCCTCCTCCTCCTCCCGTTTCGCGCTGTCGAAGCCACAGGATCGGGCGGGCCGCGGCATTTCACGCAGGGCCCTGGCGGCGAGTCCGTACGGTTTGGAGCATCGGCGCGGAGGAGCCACCACGACCGCTGCACCCAGGTCTTCCCCTCCCCCCCTCCAGGCCCTCCCAGAGACGAGCCCTGATGCATCGGTGACGCGCCGCACTCTGGAAACCGATCCTCCGAATCCCGATGCATCGCCGATGCATCGGCGATGCGGGGTGGCCCTCCGACCTGGATCTGCTCTGGACCCACCTGGGCGACCTTCAGGGTTTTCGGGGGTCTCTTGGAGCCTCCAGAACTCTCCGGAGGTCTCTGGAGATCCTGCGGGCCTCCCACGGCATCCGGAGGCATCCACGAGCCGAAGGAGGGCATTCAGAAGACCCAAGAGCCCCTCCTCCTCATCCTCCTCCTCCTCGTCGTCCTCCTCCTCCTCCTCCATCCGTTCCGCTTAATAAGCAGCTCCCTGTCGCACCCCCAGATGTCTCGGCAAAACAAAGTGGGCGTTTCGCTTGAGACCTCCTCGCCTTTTATGATCCTGAAGCTCGAAATTTGCAGCAGTTTCCAGGATGGAGGGCGGGCCGTTTTCAACATGTGGCTCTCGCCCTAGCGCCGCGCTCATTCGTCGTAAAAGTTTGCAGCAGTTTGAAGGACGGAAGACGGTCGTTCTCACAATGTGGCTCTCGCCTTAGGCCTGCGTGCATTCTTTTCAAAGCCTGCATCAGTTTCAAGGATGGAGAGCGGCTCATTTTCAGATTGTGGCTATCGCTTTGGCGCCGCGCGCATTCGCGTTACAAGTTTGCAGCAGTTTCCAATATTCGTTTGGTTGAAGTCCCAGGAACGGTGTTCTGGGACGCTGTAGGAGTATCAAGGAGCAACAGTCATATTGTTTCGATGCGTGTAAGTCCCAGGAATGTTTTTCTGGCACGATTGAGGGTTGCCAGGACGCAAGAGGCACGTCGGCTTGCGGCGTTGAAGTCCCAGGAAAAGAGTTTTGGCATCATGGAGGATTCTCAGACGGCTGTCTTATGATGGCCACTTCACCCTGTAGGGACTTGTGAAGAGGCTTCTTCGAGGGAGGGGCTATGATCCCCTTCCTCCTCCGCCCGCCGAGAAGGGGGCCGTGAAGGCGATGCCGTCGGCACTTGGATCCTCGATTCTCCTCTCCCTTCTCCCCTCCTCCTCCACCTTCTCCTCCTTCTCCTTCCTCCCTGCCAACATGGCGGGTGGCGCTACAACAAAATCAAACGAGAGGAAGGCAGCCAGTACTCGAGACTTCTCCTGTTCTGACGACCTCGGCAGTCATGACAGCTTGGACAAGTGGATGCCAGACGTAGTTAGGCGAGAAGCGGGCGGGGGAGCGGGCCAAATTTGCCAACACTCGAGCCCCTCAAGACCTAGGTGTGGGGTGCCCCTGCCAGGGGCTGCCCAGTCGAGCTGAGACCCTCAGTCCTCCGAGCACGCACCTGGCACAAACAACGCACCACACGCCTGAGCTGAGCTGGAAGGGATGCCTTCCGTGCTGCAAACCTCCGGCTTGTGCCCCGCGAGCCGCCGCAAGATCCGCTTGCGCAAGGGATTTGGGAGTGCTGGTGGGAGGCATCTCTCCCCTTTCCTCCTCCTCCCCGTCCTCCCCCTCCTCCCCCTCGTCCCCCCGTCCTTCTCCCTTCCTCCCTCTCCGCCTCCTCCTCCCTTCCTCCCTCTCCTCCTCCTCCTCCTCCTCCTCCTCCTCCTCCTCCTCCTCCTCCTCCTCCTTGTCCTCCTCCTCCTCCTCCTCCTCCTCCTCCTCCTCCTCCTCCTCCGCGGGGCTCCGTCGCTGCCGCGTGGCCGCCGCCCGCCGCCGCAGGGCCGTGCCGCCCAGATCTCGCAGCTGCAGCGCCAGGTGCGCGAGCTCAAGGTGCGGCGCCCCCTCGCCTCCGCGGCCCTCCTCTCTCGGCGACGGCGCGGGGATGCCCTTGCGCCGGGGTGACGGCGAGGGGCGGCGAGGGGGGGCTGTCCATTGTCAGCGGGGTGGGAGGGGAGGTGAGGGCAGAGCAGAGGGGGAGGGAGGGAGAGGCTTCCTCCTGCCTCTTCCTCCCTCCTCTCTCCTCTTCTCGCTCCCTGTTTCCTCGTCCCTCCTCCTCCGCCCCCTCCTCCCTCCTCCTCCGTTCCTGTTTCTCATACACAACTCCTCCCTGTCACACCCCGCGGCCAGTCGGAAAGGCGGGCCAGGCGTTTCGCCTGAGACCTCCTCGCCATGTATGATCTTCAAGCTTGAATGTTGTTACAGCTTCACGGATGGAGGGCGGGTGGTTTTCAACAGGTGGCTCTCGCCTCAGCGCTGCGCACATTGGTTTAACACAAAATGCACGAGTTTCACGGGTTGAGGGCGGGTGGTTTTCAAATTGTGGTTCTCGCCTCAGCGCCTCTCACACTCGATTTAAGACATTGCAGGAGTTTCGCGGGTTGAGGGCGGATCGTTTTCAAAATGTGGTTCTCGCCCAGGCGCCGTACGCATTCGTTTTAAACGATTGCAAGAGCTTCACGGATTGAGGGTGTGTCGTTTTCAAAATGCGGTTCTCGCCTTCGCGCCGCGCACATTCTTCTTGAACGTTGACAAGGGTTTCACGTATTGAGGGCGGGCCGTTCTTTCAAAATGTGGTTCTCGCCTTAACCCTTAGCGCCGCGCGCATTCGTCTTAGAGCATGGCAGCAGTTTCGCGGATTGAGGGCGTTTTTTTGCCATCTGTGGTTCTCGCCCTAGCGCCGCGGACATTGGTCTTTAGACATTGCAGGAATATCACGGGTTTCAAACGTTCACGTACCAGAAACGGTGCTGGATCGTCAAGACGCGACAGTCAAGTTGATTCGTGGCACTGGAGTTCCAAGGACGGTGTTTTGCCACGCTTCGGGATCTTCCAACGCTTGCCTCCCAACGTGGCACTTCCCTGGGTAGAAATGTACCCATGTAGGGGCCTCTGAAGAGGGAGCTTGGAGGGAGGGCTTATTTCAACATCTTCCCTCCTCCTCCTCCTCCTCCTCCTCCTCCCTCCTGCCACCCATCTGCGGTGTTCTTTCTCTTGGCCACAACAATCGATCCGACTGCGGCTGCGCCGCTTGCTTGAGCACGACCCCGTGGAGGAACTTGAGACAGCGGCCACGTATTCGACGACGAGCCGCCCGAGGAACCCTTCTACGACACCAACGCCGAGGCAGGCCCAGAGACGCCATCGAGCGCACCTGGGCCAGCGGACGAGACGTTTTCCCAGGAGCACAATGGACGACCTTTGGGAAGTCCCCGTCGATGATCACGTAGCCGCGACCAGAACATGATCACCCGCCAGACTACGCACGACGCGGTGTTGCATACGATTCTGACCCAAAGGCAGTCACCACGCTGTGACAGGAACGCGCGCAGTGCGCGGACATTCTGGGACAGTTCGAATGCGCGGCCTGCAACATCCAGCCACAGGATCGCCAGCAGTTTACTGGACGCGGAGTACCCTACAGAAGTGTCACTAAGTGCGCGAAGCCTCGGGCAAGACGTACACACTACAGCTGCAAACGAACAAACTGGTGGGGAAGGCTGGCAATTATTCTTAGAGCATGCCACATTATGCGGATACGTGGTCACGGAAACCGGTAGCAAGCACAGGTTGTATCTGAAAGCGGCATCTCGTCTACGAAGGCATACCCACGGCAGGAACCCGGCTGTCGCCAGCAGCAGCACAGCACCGTGACTCCTGGGGGTCTGATGGACCACGATCGACATCGACATCGATCGAGGGTCTGATGGACCAAGCCGAGCAGGAGGTCGCCAAGGCCCTCACCCTCGACATGAAGACGAGGTCACGCTCATTCGCGCGCTGGCTGTAGGAAAGCTCCAAGCCCACTGTTGGCAAGCTCAACAGAATCACCAAACCGCAGACCCGACATGAAGACATATGCGCTCGTATCAGAGGCAAGGCGTGCTGCCCCAAGTCAGTCATTGACGCCGAGACGGGGGAGTTCGTGGACCTCTGAACGCACCCGAAAATCGCCCACAGCGACGACCAGACCCTCATCCAGGACATTCGGGAATGCGCGAAGACGGCGCCATCCACGACCTGGTCATCGAGGACCTGGGCGACTCCCTCGAGTGCTCGCCCGGTAAGGGCAGAGACGCAGACGAGATATTTAGCTCCGACCTGCGACGCTTGCCGACGGTAGGGCGCCAACAACTGGTCAACCTCTTCAACAGCTGCGAGCGAGAGCTCGCATGGCCCTGGCACCTACGCAGCACCATCATCATGCTCCAGCCCAAGACAGAAAGAGATCGAGTACTGGGCCTACTACCGCAGATATTCCGAGGCTGGGAGAAGCTCACGCGACCATCGGTTGACGAATGGGCGCGGGTCGCAGGGCGGTGCTGGGGCGCAGTGCTCGCGGGCAGGAGCTGCCTGCGCGAGGCCGCTGCGCGCGTCCTGGGCGACGAGATTTGCGACGGGCTGAAGCTGGCGCTAGCGGGCGTGCGAAGATTCTACGACGCGCTCGACCTCTTGCAGGTCGTCTACGCCACCTGGCATATGTGGTTTGCCTCCTCGTGTATTCGCCATAGAGCCGGCTCCGCGCGTTTGTCAGATCCAGCGCCGGGCCTCGCGCGGCAAGCCGATTCCACCATCGCGCTCGCTCGTGGTAGGATTAAGGGATGCCAGCAATCTGGCCAGGGCAGCTATGTATCAAGTCCTCCATCGCATGCGCGACGTGGCTCTGGCCGTGACCCCTGCGCCCGGCTCGACGACGTGGCGCTCAGAGTCACGGGGGGCCAGAAGCACGCCGACGCAACTGTCGCATCCGCCACCATTGCCTACTCCGAGTGCCTCAGCGAGCAGGGCCGCGAGATGGCGGACGAGCGCGGCCGCCGTCGCATCCGGCAGCGACGTGGCCCGCGATATCTGCAGACAAGTCGAAGACAGCGGAGGCCAGTGAAGCCTGCGGCAGTTGGCCGAGACCCAGGCCGAGACCGAGCAGGAAAGACTCCAGCAAGAAGGCCCACGCACAGCAAGCGGATGCAGCAAGCTATTAACAGACTGGCAAACATCGGGCTCAATCTAGGTTGGCTGCGCTCACAGCGCAAGAGAGCAATGATCACTCATGGGCCAATGGCATCATGCCTGTGCGGGTGGAGAGTTTATGGCGAGGCGCCCGCAGCAGTCGCTATCGCCAGAAGGAGATGCACCAAATCCTAGGACGTGCGCTGGGTCGGACGACGCCTGCGCGCAAGCCCATCCTTGTCGGAAACAGACCCAGCTGTTTACCATCCTACGCGGAGTGCTCAACACATGGTTCGACGTCTGGGCCTGCCGAGAAAGCTTGCGCAATGGGGCTCACCCAGCCTGGCCCAGTATGCAGCGGGCCCGCGGACGTGCGTGCCCGATATCGATGGGGGCAGCGCGGGGTGTGATTGGCATTGTTATTCTTTATCTTTGGAATTTGGGCCAGGGCCCGATCTCGCCGACAGAGTGGGTCGACCGCCTGGTCAACGCCTCGCAGATGGGCGATGGCGATGGCGACCGCGCGGGCGATCCTTTCGACGACGCCCATGCCATCCTGGAAGCACAGCAGCTACAGCAATGGGCCGAGGCCTCGGACCGCTGGCTAGGCACGGGTTCGAGCGCGGCGTCGACGCGACCTCGTCGAGGAGCTGAAGTCGCTGCGTCGGCGGGGCAAGCACCGTGAGGCAGGCGCACCACTGGCGGCGGCAATGGCTGGCGCGTGGGCGCCTGGCCGCAAGCATGAGACATTCGCCGGCGCGTCCAGCGCCTGCGTATGTGGCGATTTCTGCGACGGCCTCCACAGAGTATGGGCTGCATGTTCTTGCAGGGGTGGCCGCGGGGGCTACGACGTGACGGAGTGCATCAGTCAAAGAGCTGTTAAAGGCAGCCAACGCGCACCATGTTTTTGGCAACGCGGGCTCGCGCCGAGGGCATGGGCGGTGCCGCGAGATTGCGACGCAACGGAGCAGCGCGCCAACATCGGCTGTTTCGATGATGACGGCAAGGTTGCGACTGCTGACGATCTCGCGTTGATATGCACCGATGGCAGCGGGGGGGGGGGGGGGGGTCGCGCGAGCCTCGATGTCGAAGGCGCGGATGGGGGTGGTCCAAGCTGCAGCGGCATGGCGAAGAATGACATCTGGATGCTGGGCAGTGCGGGCCACTCCCAGGAAGACTGCGGACCGACGATCGGGCCGAGCAGTGGGCAATGCTACAGGCGGTGCGATGCTCGCATTGGGGGCTTCACATGGACGGACTCAGAGGTGGCCGTCGCAGGGTGGCAGCGAGGTCGCCGCGTGCACAGTGCGCGGCGACGTGCGAACGAACTGCGACATCTGGAACCACGTCGGCAGGGCGTTGCATCGGGGAGCTTCCGACCACGGTGACCCCGAGGAGCTCGTCAAGCTGCGGCGCGCGCCGAGCCACCTCGACACCGAGCAAAGGCTAAGGCTCGGAGTGGCCCTTGAGGCGTGGCCCGGCAATTCGGTAGCGGATGCCCGGGCCGACAGAGCGGCGGAGGCGCGCGCGATATCAGCCCGGCAGCTCGAGATGCGTGAACGGGTTCGCGCAACCTGCGCGCTGACGTGGACAGGACTCATGCGCGCCTATGTCGAGGCCTGCGCCAAGGACCCCGCCGCCCATATGTGCGAGAAGCAGGCCTCCCAGGAGTTCAAGAGGAAGGCCGGCAGCGAGCTGGGCCATTCCCTTTCCGTTTCCCCTCGCCCCCATCCCTCCCCGTAGTCGTTGGCAGCATGCTCCGCGCAAAAAAGCCGTTAGTAAGCGTGCAGGAGCCTTAGTCATTCAGGGATGGCTAACGAATTTCGAAGTTCGCCTTGGGCCCAAGCGCGCCCAAGGCCCCGCGCGAAGCGTCCAAATGGGCGACG